GCTTTCCAGTAGTGTGTAGCATTCCTACAACTGTTTGTTCCCTTATCAGACTGTTCATGAAATTGGCAATAAAAATGCCAATAAGTACCTTTTCTTTTCTGATTTGCTCATTTGCTGGAGATGTTTTTATTTTGGGTTTTGATTTACAGAATATCGAAGACTGCAGAGCCTCCTCACATTCATTGTTCTGCAACTCAGTTATGTACAGTCACCTCTACCATGAGAAGTGTACCTCTTTAGCAAATAATATGTCTGTTGTTTTTTACTCTTTAGTACTGTTCTCCATAATTTCCTGGAAGCAAGGAAGAAGGGTGATGATGTGAGGGGAAAAGTCCTGTCATCAAATATATTGTAACTTTGAGCAGTACTGTCTTGTGGGGTGGTTTTCGTATGTGGGGGTATATATAAAATTAGTTCCKGTTTTATTATATTACCGGCCTGAATTCAGTCAGTAATGGCCTCAATAGTGCCTCTTTTAATGTAATCCCTGTTTGCTGACTGCTGTTCCAAGAATAAAAATTTAAGCCAAAAGATTTAATGAAATCCTTTGGGATTAGTGCTCACTGGGCTGGGGAAATTGCATATCAACCATTTCTCTGTATTCTAACCGTATGACTTGGTATTTGAATAGGAGGGTGTCCAAAAGAGACAACTCTGAGTTCATCAATAATTTACATTTTTGTTAGTTACAAACCTGGTATTTGGGATTCTGTTGCCATAGCAATCCATCTGTGTCTGAATGGATAGTGTTTTAAGTGGTGGTTGTATAGAGATTCACAGTGTGTGCTTTAAATCCCTTCTGAAGTAATCCTCAGATCTGTTCTGACGTTTATTTGAGGTTTTGACAAAATCGATGTTACTCACAGTAAAAGTTGATGCTGAGCAAATTAAGCTCACAAAATAGTGGAATATACATATAATTAAGGACTGTAAAGTTCATAATGCATGGCAGTTTCTGTTTCAGTATGTGAAATGATTAATAAATGCCGGCAACTGCATTTTTTTTCAAAATACATTTAGTTTGTTGCACATTATGCAACTAGAAATTATCCAGAGTCTGTACTGGTTATTAGCTAATTTAAACTTCATAATCGAATGCTAGCCTCATTTTTCCAGATGTCAGTTTTATGTTTTACAGGATGTCTGTCTATTCATGATACTGTATAACTTCTGCTTTCAATTAATCTGATTTTCTCTCATAAATAATTCTAAAGCAGAGAATAAAATTTGGAATTCCCATTTTCATTTCTGAGGCTACTGGGCTTGTGTTTTGAGGATGTGCTGCTGAATTCAGTAGGCTTAACACCAGCTGCTTTATTTTTGAGTTTATACTTCCTAGTTTATTTTTTTTTTGTTTTCCCACACAAAATTTCAAAATGGTTTATTCAAAACCTCCCAAATGTGCCATGTAGGTGGATGTCCTCAGGTTTGATAGTCGATCAATAAAGTGAGCAAACCTGGGCTAAGTTTCAGCTCTGTCAAAACCAAAACCCTCCTGAAACTGATTTCCAGAGCTTTTCTTCCTTCATGGCAAAAATATTGTCCAGTTGTGCTCTGGAACTGTCACTGAGCCATAATGATGATGCATTAGCAGCTCTTTGTTACTCCAGAGTGCAGAAATTCAGTTTGCAAAATTATTCCTCAGTGTTTGAAAGAAGAGAGTGAAGAATAATACTCAAATAACAGCCATATGTTTTGCTAATAAGTGTTTAGGCCATAATCCTAAACGATAAAAAGTGTTTCTTCATGGAGTTTGTAAAAGACCACATAGTTGTTCCTGGCTTTAAAAATAGTAATGGAATAAAGAAACTTCAGATGGCCTAAGACATCTTGAGGAATCTTTTAATTACCATGCAACTTCCTTTGCATCTTTTGTATCACAGTTCACAATGAATAGTGAGGCATCTAATAAAAGGGGCTTATTTTTGCCATGATTCTGTGATGCTAAAAATGTTCTTTGTCACGTGTAATAAATGTAAATCCACTCAGTTTCTCTATGAGTTAAACAAGAGCTTGCTGAGAAAAATTGGAAAGAATCCATTACTTGCAGTGGAGTCGGGTTTCATTTCATGAGCATATATGCATGCATAATCTTATATTCAGTGTTGCTGACTGAACTGTTTTTATTTTAGAGCTCCAGTCCTGCCCCAGTTTAATGGGACTATTTCCATAACTGGTTACCACAAAGGTGACTGGGATCAGAGAGTTTAGAATTACTGAAAAAAGGCTTTGTTTGGCTTACTTTTCCGTATCTGTATGCTAACTGAAGTAAAAGTTGCAGATAATTTAAATGAGTACTTACCCTAAAATGAAATGCCTTGAAGTATCTTCTGTAGATAACATTTGTTAAATATAGATTAACGCTTCAAAGGGATATTACAAGATGTATTCACACATATCAAAATGTGTTTCTGTTGATATTTCCAATGGTTTCATTAGGAAACATCCTCCCTTGCAAATATTACTGAAATGAAAATGGAGCCTTGGAAGATACCAGCAGAATGACAGGTGCAATTTGTAGCTCTGGAAATATAGTTGTCACTGCAGGGAATCTCCTGCACTGAAGACCCACAGGAGTCCATAAGCAAGGGTGAATGAATTAATCTTCCAACACATCTAATAAAAAATAGCCTGCATTTAATAGTAAGTGATAGAAACACAGTTGAATTTCTTTCATGATTTTTTTATTCTTTCTCTAGAAATGCAAATTTGAACAGTTTATTTATCTCTTTATGTTTTAGCTCTCCAAATCCTTGCAAAGAGTAATGATATTTAGTCTCCTTGATAACTGCTGAATTTTACTGATTGGTTTTTATTTATTTTTTCCATATTTGCATTACATTTTTCGTATCTTTTGGAAACTCAGATTATCAGCTTCAAAGGAGGAGGCAGGCTGTCTCCATTTGCACTTAATGTAGCACTGCACTTATTCATAGTTATGCTTAAATTTGCTTCTCTAGCACAGAACCTGTATTTTATTCAGTTATTTACAATTGATACTATAGTAAATGTTTGTCTTCCATTTTCTGTGTTTGCAGCAGAAGGAAATAGTGAATCTCCTGAAAGGTTCAGTAATAATATGACACAGCTTGACACAGACAGCTTAGAGAAACATGGGAAGATTGAGACAGTGTACCACAGAGCAGGTGTGACTCTGGGTGTTAGTTTCTCTAAGGCACTTGCAGCTACCTCTGCTCAAATGCAGTATRTACACAGGGACCTGAACCAAAACCCTGGCTCTGAACCCCAGGAGAAAGTGGAGATTAGAGGTTTTTTCACTGAACACTCTTTCTGAGTGTGTCTGAATTTCAAATGCCTCAGTTTGGGAAGACTTGACTTGACAGCAAGGGGCAAAGTTTTGGTTGAACCGATTCAAGAGATATTCGAGTACAGTAGTTTAGATTAGGTCTGTCATGGTCTGCACCAGAACATTTTATGAAGCTAATGCAGAGCACCGAGTGAGGTAAGGCCTGCTAAGGCTATTGACAGGAGTTGACATTTGATATGAGTTACAAACCGTGAGAGTGAAGTTAGCTGTGTTTTACGCCAGCATCTGAGGTATCCCAAACCCTTTCAGATAAGATTTCAAATGGTTGTCCAGTTAACCTTGCATCATTAACGTGTTCAGCTCCTTACTGATCTCTAGGACATAACAAAATGTGCTGTTAGATAGAAGAGCCTTGGTACAAAAAAGCTTAAAACTTAATAATATCATAATATTGTATGCTTCTGACTCATGGATTATACAGCCCTCAGCTCTGAACAGTTGTTAATTGTTGCTTAACAGGTTTCTTCAGTAGACTGACATGCAAATGAGTGCTTTCTGGTATATCATAAATATTGACGGAATGATACAGAAAGAAGTATTACAGAAAGAATTATTACTATTATTATTATTATTATTATTATTATTATTATTATTAAGTATTATTTCTTATTAAAAAGAAGGGAAAGTTAGATTTTATAATGAGTTATGTTTTGAGTCCTTTATTATTTAAGTCATGAAAGATGGTATGCTGGTTAGAGTGAGATGGGGGGTGAAATCGTGATTTGCCTTTTTAAAGACCAGAGTATGTGTTGGTGTGCTGTAGTATGACAGTTTTTGGTAACAACAGTTCCATTTTCCAGTTGATTTAAATTTAAAAATACGTGTGTCTATCTTGGTAACTATGTATTTGGCTCCTGTTTTTAACTGCATCCAAATTGGTCATCTTCACATTTAATGCCTTCACTGCTTGATTGTATTCACTCTTTCACATCAATGTTGCCCTTACTGTAACCCTGATTGCCCAGCAGTCCCAAATTTCTAGCTTCTCTCTAGCAGCCTTTATTCATGAAAATTGTTAATAGTAAAATCTGCAATGTCAGTATGCTGTGTTCCTTCCAAACCTGCTTTAAAACTCACCTCTGGGGTGATGCCGGTAAACTGGCCAAGGAAGGCTAAAGCAGCTGCTCTGCTGTTTTCAGTTCTTATGCAAATTTTCTGTATAAAATAGCAGGACTGAGGCATCCAACACTGCTCTGCAGCAGGTCCTACTCTGCTCCAAAAGTGGTGAGTGAGGCTGTGGCTGTCATTGGAGGCATCCTTATGTTCTTTTTTCCTTCACTACTCTGTCTAATGGGGTAATTCAGCCAAGATCTAATACTCCATGAGAATTTGATTTTGACCAGAGCATTGCCAGCCTCAAGGATGTGAAAACCTGTCACCTTCCCGGAACTGGGGAGAGCTGCAGGTGCCCAGATGAAATTAAGATGCCCAGTGTTTGGCCTGAGGTTTCAAGAGAGATTTGCTCCCTGAACTTTTGCATTTCTCATCTCTGCTTAAGACTGGAAACTCTTTTAAGGAAAAAGAGTGATATGAATTTTCTCCGCTGGGTGCTTTCACCAGAGCCCAAGGCTTTAAATATTGGATAAGCCAAAACTAAACCTGAAAATGGCAAACTAAACTAGGTAGTTAATTTTAACTAGATGATAAATGGATTTGTTTGTTTTTCTTACAGAAGCGTGGAGTCCTGAATAAACAAAGAGAAGAGAGTTAAGCACACGTTCTCTGTTGTGAACAGTAAGTGATCAACTTACATACTGGGAAGCTAAACACTACTTGCACTTCTTTTTTAAAATTTTTTATTGCTTCTTATTTGAAGTTCTTCTTACAAGTGTAAGAAGTTAGTGCAGTGAGCATTTCTGCCTTTTATCCAACTTAGCTTAATTTCACAGACTTTTATTAATCCTATAATCATCTCAGGTAAGGGGCCCAGATAATCCACACAAAGTGTCTTCATCGCTGCCCATATTGAAAATATTGCATTTTTCTCATTAGTAAAAATATATTGCAATAGAAATTGTAATAGACAGTACCAAACTAAAACCGGTATTACATCAGCATTTGCTCACACATGAAATTTTGCAGACAAACAGATTTATTACTGTAGTCGGATCCTGCTGAGTCAGTGTAGAAGCAAAAGACTTTTACAGATTTGTGTTAACCCCATAATCACTGACTGTTCTTGACCACCCTGGTCATAGCTGTGCTGTTTACTGCACAGTCTAGCTAATCACAGTGTGTGACTGCACTGGCCTTTGAGCACTGCAGCATTATAAAATATCAAGGGCTTGCTGAGACAAGAAATGTTTGTTTTGTGGGTGATATTGATATTGTCCCTAGAAGAAGGTCTTAGGCTGCTGGTAAAGTACCAGTCATGACAAAGGAGAGCACAGACACTGCTTTCACTGCCAATCCAACGTAACAGGCCCTGGGAACTGCAGCTGATTATAGGGTTGTACCTCATTGCTGCGTATTAAAAGGTGGCAATATCTTTTGAGAAACAAAGCAGGTGGACATGTGTTAACACATTTCTGTTAACAGTTCCAACAAAACAGCTCCTCTGTGCTAGGTGCCAACAGAACCTGCCTTTTTTGTGATAGATGATTGTGGACGGTAAGTAATGTGCAGAGAATATGTGTTCTTCAGCAGCGTTTTCCTTTTAAAATACATCTTTGACAGTACCTCATGCAGTACAAGTTAAGGAACTTCATTGTTGTATATGAAATCTCTATTCATTCAGCCTAACTGGCATATGGAACAGGCTAGTTTTGAATAGAAATAAATCTTGAATATTTCTTGATAAGTAATGGAAATAACACTCTTAGTTAGAAAAGAATGTGTGTAAACCTCAACTCCAAAAAAATACCCATTATATCTCTGAGCAGCCAAGTTTGATGATGGGTGGTAACATGTAAGGAAATGTGTGCCATTTCACCAAATCCAAGGACAGCACAATGCTTGTTTGTAAATCTGTTTGGTTATTTGTGTGCTGTACTAAACTATGCTAGCAGTAGGCATATCCTAGATATTTAGTGAATGATACATATGTACCAGAGAACCATTAGAAAAATATCAGTTCTAAAAAACTTCTCAAAACTCCTATTTATCTAGTCCTTTGATTTTTTTATTTCTTCTTCTATCAGTCATACTTACCTTTTATCTTCCCTTCTTTCCCCTGTGATTCCTGTGGTTATATTACCTACATGCTGTCACATCTCTTCTTACCCTTTATCTTTCCACTTTTTCCCACATAGTCAAGCTGCTCGAACTTTGTATTCTCTGCTCACATATCCCACACCGGGCCATCTCCTCTTACTCTTGGCAGAGCTGCGTTGCAGAATATTTCAGATCTTGGGCAGATTTTGAGCTTGCTGTTTCTAGTATCAAGTAGATACCTGCAGACCAAGGGCATTATTGTCAGGTCATAATGCGTATATTGCCATATGCCTATACCTAAGGAATTCACAAAGGATTGCAACATAGTGTAATATGGGGCAGCTCTTGCAATTTTATTTGACATGTGGAAAGATAGGGTGGAACTTTGGGAGCTGTTATTTAATGCATGGGATACCTTCAGCCTAGTCAATTATGCTTTACTCCCTCTGGGTCTGAAGTTTTGGCAGCAGATGACTGATAGCTACATGAATAAATATTAGCAATTCTGAGCAATTTATATAATTAAACTGATATATGTATATAAAAAATCCACAAGTTCTGCTTTTAGAAAATGAATTTCACTACTGCTGACTCTGGAAGATCTTCTCCCAGTTGTGTTTCTGTGTCAAGTGGCCAGAACTCAGAGGCAGCTGTTTCAGAATAGTATGGATTTATTTGTGTATGGTGAGAAAAAATTAATCAACTGGTACTCCTTCTCATACCAATTCTCTGTCTTCTGCTGGCAGAATAGGTTGACAGAACCTTTTCATAGTACCCATCAGTTCATTTTATCAACCATGGAATTATGATTATAAACTACAAATGAACTAACATATAATGATTATATAATTACAAAAATGAAACTCTGCAGTGGTTATTAAACATCTGTAATGTGAAATTTATTTAACACTCTCTTTGGAGTATATATGGGAAATTAGAATAATAAAACAGAAATAAAATTACTCTCACCTCTCATCCATCATCAGTAAGAAGCAATGTTACCAGTTTGATCAGGCTGTGCATTTACCCATGGAGGGAAGTTCATGTATGGTACCTTTGGGCCTTCTGATAATACCCTTGAGAACTGTGTATTATTCATACACTAAGTAACCAGCCATTCTTCTGACACTGGAGTTGATAAATTAGAATTGTGGAATTGTTTTAGAATTGTTTTTCTCCTTCAACCTGAAGTAAAATCTAGAATTTAAAATACCCAGCGCTGAGAGGCAAAAAACAAATTGGATTCCCCATACAGGGAGGAAATGAAATTAATCTTGTTCTTATTTTAAAGAGGATAAAATAAAAGTCATAATGTATACTATGTTTTGTGGTGTTTATGTGTACTTAACTTAATTTTAAGTGCAAGGGCCTTTGTCACTTGTCCTTGATACTGCAAAAGGTTGCACATATCCTTTGTGGAGCAGGGAAAAATTCTTATGTGTTCCAAAAAAGGTTCAATGTCCTCATGTAGTCAGCAGCAATCAGATTTGCCATGAGGTTTATCATGGAAGTGGAAAATAATTGGTAGCTGGTTAATAACAGGTTTCCTGTTATTCTTGTTTATAAAGGTAAGTTCAGGTAATGTGACATGAATTAGCAGTCAGCACAAGCAAAGCGCTAGTGCAGGAGAAGAATGACCAAAAATCAGACTTTACTGTAAGCAGCTGAGAGGAAACTTGACCTGCTGAAAATTATGGTATGGGCAGTTTAACTCCATTATGTGTAGAAGAACTAAATTCGTGTTAGACTTACCATTGGCTCATGGGCATGCAACATTGCTGTTGTTTGTAACATTTGCATAATGTAAAGGTTGTTCATATTGCCTCTGTTTTGGTTATCACATCAAGATTATTCAGAGTCTATTCTCTGTGGCTCACATGCTTACAAAATCCTGTGCATCAAAACTTCATTTTGCTTTTTTTTTTTTAATCATTCCTCTATTACAGACACAGCTTTGCATTTTTTAATGTGACATCTGTGACATGGATTTAGAATCTGTACTGCTTTGAGGTATGCTAGTTATGCAGCCTAATTTTGCAAAATGGCTCTGTAGTTGTCGTTCCCTGGGGCTTCAGTTTAGTTGTCACCTATCATTTTAGCACTGTGATTGATTACGCTCTACTATTTAATTTATCTGCTGCAGCTTCTAAGCTTTTTCTTTAATTGGTAAACACATACTTTTCTGGACATATTTTCAAATGATGTGTTTCCATGTGCCCCAGAAGTCATGTTTTTCTCAGCTAGGAATTTAACCATTTGAGACATTTATGGTTTCAATAAATTATTGGCTGATACTTTGTCTATTGCTTGGAAACTTTGAACTGGAAATCTGTGCTACATTTTCCATTTTTCAGTGTTACTCTATATATATTTATTCTGAAATACAAGCGTGTTTACCAGCTGCTTCTTTGTCCACCAAAAAACATTAAAACAGATCAGCACCTTTCTTAAGTGTAAGAGCCAAATGCCCAGTCTGCTGCTGTGTCAGGAGATTTTAACCACCTTTGCACATTAGGTTTCAAAAGCAAAATATTAATTAGTGTCATTTGCTTGTTAGAAGTTTGAAGCCAGCTTCAATCAATAGGGTTAACAAGCTTATGCTTTTGTATTGTATACTGTCTTCCTGTACTGTGCTATTTTTAAACATCACATTGAATATCAACTTGGCTATGATTTTAACTCAGACAGTTTCAGAGTAATGTCATTTCCATTTAGAAAAGGGTTGGTTTTTGGCGTTAACTCATACAGTGGGTAAACACTGCAGCAGTATTACACAATTACTGAAGCAACTTTTAAGAAGCTACTGTACAGAACTGCTTCTGTGATCCACATATCAAAGGAGTTTCAATGCCATTTTTTCTTTGCTACTGCAGTTTTTATTATGGCTCCGTGTATTTTTGAATGGAGGTGTTGGTAATTTGTTTTTGGTTTGGGTTTTTTTTTTTTTTTCTCTTGTAGTTACTCTCTTTAATAATTGTGATTAAAATCTCTCAATAAGAAGAATTATACTGTGTCATCATAATGCAGCTTTGCTGACGTTGGTGACTGCTGTTGTAGTCCTCTATCTAAGTACAATCAAACAGAATTGGTAGCCATCTGCAGTGTTGCATGCTTTTTTGGAGTAAATTGGTGCTCCTTTTTTTTTTTTTGTGAGAGCAAGCTTTAATCAGTATTTCCCTTTTGTTTCTAATTATTAATCTTTCTGTACAATCTGTTTTTAAAGACTACCGGGTTAGCTTTGGATATGTACCGTAGTAATTTGTGGTAGGTCACTTCTAGCCCAAATTTCCTTCAAGTTTTGGAGTTGGCCTGTTCTGTCACTGATCTTGTAATGTCTTATTCTTTGATTAGGAAATAAGAGGATCGACTTTCTTGTCAACTCTGCTGTATTGCATTTGTGGTACATGAAGCTTAAGAGATAACTGATATGATACAAGTGGTCATGAAACAAGCAGGTTAAGATGACCCCTCAGTATGGAGTGGATGATCACTAAGGGTCATTATTTGCCGGTTTTGGATCTTTTTGAAGCATGACTTGGCTCTTCAATGATGATTTTTTGTTTCCTTCTTTTCAAGTTTCA